AGGTCGTTAGCCTTAATCACTACGCCTCCACTCCTGTTAATGCCGCATAATTCTGTGCTGATATCTCAGCCACTGCCTAGGTAGTTGCAACTTCTGGACTGTTGCTCTGTGGCAACATTGCCTCTTTTTTTCTCTTTGCGTTACATCAGTTAATGCAAATTGACTGTGACCAATTTTTGTGTCTTGGCATCGGAGTTTTCTGAGTGAGCTCACCACAGAATTGGCTTAGCCAAGCGAATTAATGCCTAGGTACTGTTCTTGATCAGCTCGGAGTGTTTTATTCCCCCCCCCTCCCCTTCAAAGCATATCACAAATCTGTGGGGGAAATACTGATTTGAATTTGACCAGTTTATGTCATCTGTTAAAAGGGGTCGTTTTGGTCAGTAAGTTTTGGCTTGTAGCGTCTGAGTCTTCTCTGGGTCATAGTGGTCCGAAATGGGGGGTCATACATTCGCGGGGAGATACAACATGCTGGAATTGGAGAGCAAAACACCAAGGCTTGGGTGAATTAATGGTCCACAAGGGAAAACCACCCAAATTTTGGGCATCCCCTAATTTTTGCTGCTGACAAACAGTTCATATCTATCTCGATAGTACAACTATACACAAGGCGGATTCTTTTTTAGTTTATTAATGGTCTGGGTCTTGGTGGAAAATCGACCAGTAGATGTTTTATACTTTCTATACGGCAACAATTTTCCTCGTTTTGCTTCACCTCTTTCGTCTGACTAGTTTTTTTTCAGTCGAATTTGTTACATGCTTAACTCTGGTGTTGTAAATATCGTAGTTTAGGCGCCGTTGAAGATTGTTTCTCGTCTCCTTTGTCAAGGCTCACTGGAGACGGCTATCGGTATGTGCGGTGGATTCTGTGCGGGATCACACTTTGTTGTGGACCACCAGCGGTTGTCGGGTCAGGGTTACTGCTTCTCCGCCTCCCTGCCTCCGATGCTCGCGGCAGCAGCCCAGGCTGCTGTGGAGCAGCTAGGCGTGGAGGATGGCGTGCGGCAGTCGCAACTACGCGACCTCTCCCACCGTCTCCAGGCCGCGTTGGCGGAGGCGCCGCTGGCTCAATTCTGGAGCCTTGACTTCCACTCAAATCCTGATTCACCAGTGAAGCACATCCGCCTGGCTGTTGGTGCCAACTCCATGGAGAGACTGGAGCACGCCTGTGATCTTGCTGCTGCTTTGCCGCGAGCCGATGCATCGGAATTGAAGAAGGAGCTCGAGGCCACGCCGGTGCTTCTTACAGTGGCGCGGTTAGTAAAACAATCAATCCCCTAGTTCTAAGCTGTAGGACTTGACTAGAAACTTTCAAAGTAGATTTTAAAAAATAAATAGCTCTATTAGCCTCGTTGAGAAGTGACAGGTGCTTTCTATTTTGAAAACCTGCCTACGTAACTTTGGCGACTCGTCTTCTTTTTAATTTGACTGATTTGGAAAAGCTCTACCCTCTTGTAACCTGCCGTTAAGTTCCCATCTCTCTTCTGGGAAAGTTGGTGACTTTTTTGGCCATAAAAAGAAGAGCTCAAGCTTTATAGATTCACTCGTAAGTTATATTTCTAAGTTGTGGAGGCGCCTGCGTCTCCGCATTACTCATAGTCAAGATGGCGCTGAGGGGTTTGCTATTCCCCTCTTTTATTGTTAAGTCATAAAATTTGGTTTTTTGCTAAGGGCAGGCAGTAGTTCATATCAAACTTTATTTCTTCTCCGACTCATTCATTGCTTGATTGGTCCCAAGCCTAGTTGTCGCCAGCTCCTCTCACCCAATGCATCTTCGTCTGTCCCTTTTGGAGTATCTTTGGACTTTGTTCTTACTTTTCCATCTTGCCTTTTTTGGCGCCTTTCGCGTCTGCTTTCTTGAAGATATTCGGCTCCCGGCCCGTTGGCAGAGCCTTGATGTCGAGAACCGAATTTGCCTCAGCAAATTCCGACTTTTCTTTTTACCCGTACAGCAAAAAGTTGGCGATTTCGATAAGATGAAAGGGACCCTTGTCGACCTAACCTCTTTATCCTAAAATCGGAAACTGTCTAGTTGAAGAATTTTGTTTTTTGGGTAATTGGTGGCAAATCCTCCGAAATTGGGCCACAATTCTATCAATACTCTTCGTCCACATTACTGATGAATGACAACCAGGGAAGGGACGACAGAAAAAGGGTTATTTGTGTCAGCTTTCCGCATTGGCGAGAAGCACACTCGCACACACAGACGTGGCAGGCTCACATAAATGCCTCCTGCCAGAAGGAACACACGAAATAAGTTGATGTGTATGTGGGTGGGGAAAAAAAAGCAAATAAATTACGGGAGGCGTTTACCTTCTTAGCTGGGAAAAGCTCTTCAATTACCCACCTAACTGGTTGAATTGAAACCCCTTCTCGAGTGGGCACCTGAACCTACCATCTGGTGTTTCTTTTTAAACTTTGAACGATTGCAGAGGGCTAGGTCTCCAGAACTGGAAGCCTTCCCCGACAAGACACAAGTTGTCTGCGAATTTTACCCCAATTCCATTCGTCTCCGTTTCTGTCTTCGCTTTTATTCCTGTAAGAATTGTCATCTGCTTGATATATGAATATGCGATGCCAAAAGAAATTGTTAGTCACGCATTGAGGAGGTAGTACGAGGGGGGAATACGGATGAGGCAGTGTCCTCTACCACCCCTCTCCTCTCTCTCTCTCTCTCTCTCTGCATCCCATCCCAGAGGATAGTTGGAGATTTTGCTTTTTTTCTTTCACCTCTTTAACCCACCAATTCAATCATAATTGATGTTTGATCTTAAGGATGTGGGCTATCTCTTCTGGGTAATCCATCCTACTCCAAGTAAGCCTAGTCTCCTGGGGAATAAGTGGAGCTTTCATTTGTGAAGTATGTCGCGAGTGTATCGTTTAGTTTGCTGACAGTTGATGAATAAGTGGTGGAATGTAAAAAATCTCATTACATGGAAAGAAATAAGGACCACACTGTAGCACCTTGAGTCTTACTGTCAACTTTTCCCTCTCAGTTGAAGGGGCCTGGAAACGAAGAATGGGACATTTGTCAGGGCAAGTTGCAATCTGATTGGCTAGAGGTTGGAGTAGATGTAGAACGCTCTCAACCTGAGGATAATTGCATTTTCTTATTTGCATTTTCTAGCTCCAACTGAATCGGTAAATAAAATTAGATTGTCCCGTCACGTAGTCGGAGCTGTGATGCTCAATTATCCCTCTGAGAGGGCATGAATGTTTATCTGCCCTCTTTAGCCTTGAAGCAGCGTAGCAACTGCTAACCACTCCACTTGTTGATGTCCTGATCTTGTAGTACAAACATCTGGGTTGGTTGTCACCTTAGAGGGGCTGAATGACCTGTCCCCCTTAACCTTGAAGCAGCGCAGTGGCCCGCGGTCACACCAGTTGTTGGTGTGCTGGTGATGTTGTCCAAACTCGATGCTTTTGGCCCCACTCTGGTCTTCGTGAATCCTTTTTTCCTCCTCATTTCTGGTATAATAGACGGAGACCATTTTGTGGAGATTGGAGACTAATGTGACAGGTGAATGTTTCAATAGTTAAACTGGTAGAATTTTGCCGAAAAATTGGAACGTCTCTGCTTTACACGTTCGGAGATTGAATTAAACTTTTTGTTTTTACCGTGTTTACTTTCTTCTGTCGAATTTTGTGATCCTTCTAGCCGCAAAAAGTTTTGCCCGCCTTTTAACGCATGGAGAGATTGGCATAGCGATAGCACCCCCCATTTACATTCACCAGGACTAACCAACAAAAAGTTCTAGTGTTTCATGATCCGCACCGATTTTTTCCCCTATTTTCTATCCCCTTTAGCCACACAAGCAACACACTGAGGAAGATTCCAGAGCCGAGTATTCGACTAGCTCTGAATTGCTCAATGACTACGGCAGAGTTGGATCACGTCTGCGAGGTGCTTCGAAAGGTCGGCGAGACCATGGCGGGGGCAGAGGCCACGTTATAGTAGTATCACTGTGCACGCTAATATCCTTTCTCTACGAAATAACAAAAGTAACTGGTTTCTTCTTTTTGATCTTACTGTGACTTTTCTGGATCGTCTTTCTTTCTCTTTGCGTGTCTCTGTACGTTTGTGGATTAAGATGACTTCCACTTTTTGTACTATCACTCTGTTCCTATATATATATATATCTGCTCCAATCTCTGAGTTGGACGTGAGCCATAGAAATTGTGGGGACTTTGGAAGTCATCCCCTTCTCATTTTGGCGAGAAGGGGAATAAAAATCCACTGTGAATTCTTCGGTTTGATCTTCATGAAGTTTGTTGTGCTTTACTCCTTGAGGGCTGTACTTTCAACCCGGCGGTCTAGTCTTCTCCTCGACTTCCGTACCTGATTGAGGTCTTAGAACTAGATTGATGCTTATGTAGTGTCACAGAAGGGTTGAATATAGGCATAATCACTGTTTTAGTGTGGTTGACCACTGGGCGGAGAGTTCAGCTGTGCAGAGTTTGCGGAGTGAAACGCCTTGTCACCGGTAAAGAGGGACAGTTAAAAGAGTCCGAGGGCACAAACTAGGCTGCTCGGCAGACTATGTCCAAATTTTTCGCCTGGTAGACTGAATTCTGTTTACTTTGACGACTTCGGTTTTGTGTCAAGCTTGAGGGACCTTCAAGTGAGTCACTGTGTTCTCATTGGTCCGTTCTTGCAGACGTGGGTGTAGGTGATGCCAGTGCGCAGGCTACCTTTCGCCGCAAAATCACATCAATTAGTGATGCCAAAGAATGTGGTATCGTTATGTAGGAGGAGTAAGTTGCTTGAAAGGTGAGCACAAGTTTCTCATTTTTCAATTTCGTCGGGAAAGACTTCAGCTTATCTCGAGGTGTTTGCTTCTTGAATATCTACAAATTATTCGTGTTCAGCAGCGGGAAAAATTCACCAATGACGACACTTGGAGACAGTCGACAAGACCTCCAGTTGATGATACCTACATTATCGGCTCTTCTAATACAGTGAAATAAAAGATCGGACCATTCTTTAACCACTGACCCGCGTCATTTGGGATGAAGTGTTGTTTGGAGGGACACTAACGACACTACCTCCTCGTTATTGTCATCAGGTGAAGGAGCCACTGGGGAAACCGTCAAGCCTGAAGGTGATCACACTGTACTGATGAGAAACGGATTTTACAGAAGAGTGTCCCACCTCACTGTCAACCGTTCCTTCTCAAATAACACGGTATTGGCCCTGAATAAAAGGCCAACACTCCCTCCAGATTTTCACAGAAAATCATTTCCCATAACATGTCTTTGTGAGATACCTCAAGCGGTCATTTCAAAGTCAGTCTCTTCAACTTTTTTGTTTTGAATTTTTGAAAGGCTTATTGATTTCCAGTCATTTAAAAACTCTCAGCTGCTTGTACAAGTCCACGTTCCTGCTCTCATCGCAGACGAGATGGGCACAAATTTGAGCAAACTGCGTCCACATCCCAAAGTCCAGGTCGTTGAGATGGTGAAAGTGAACAAATCCTGCCAGGTACAGACCACCCTGTCTGAATGCGTGTCGTCCATAGGTGAGAAGGCGGTGGTAGTGGTGGAAACGGTCTCACGGTTGGTGGAAACCGAGTCAACAGAGCTGACATCCCTATGGAGTAAAGTGGAGGAGAAGAAAGAGTCGAAATCGGTGGAATTTGCAATTCCTATTGACACTATTGTGCCCCGACACAGACTCCTCCTAAACGAGGAGGTTCGGGAGAGTTGTGTTGAACCACACAACAGCAACAACAATAGCTACATTCCCATTGTGGATGTCACGAATGCTTTCGGTGACGCAAAAGAAGTGAAACAACCACCTCCACGAAAACGCTCCTTCAATACTGTTCTTGAGCGTCGATTTTGGATCCCCGTGGCACTTGCCCGTGTCTTCTCCGACACTCGTGATCGTCGTCTGGAGTCCATAGCTCGATTGAGTGATTGTAAGATCACTCTCTCGCCTCAAGTAAAGAAGAATGTGGTGGGAGATGTGGGTCGTATCGCGACGGTAAGAGCAGAGAATAAACGGGGTTTAGACAGGTGTGTTAATCTGCTCTCCGACAAATTCCCCGCATTTCAATTGGAGCCCAGATAACAAAAAAAACTTGCCAGAGTGTACACAAATCAGAGGTTTTGCACTGCTGGACCATTTTGATAGTCGTTGATTTGAAATAAACTGAACCTTATGCAACTAGGACTTGTCACCATGGCTGCCTAGAGAGCTCAAGCCCTTGTTTGTGGTGCAACCCTCCCACGTTTACTGCATGACTGCGACAGCCATGCAACGCGAAAAAAAACAAGACTTAGGGTTGATTGTCACAGGGAGGATCGCTTGACACCTTGTCAGAGTGGAGCACAGAGGTGAGTCTTGCCCACCGCCAGCCAGTAGTAAAGGCGTTTTTCCAAGTACATGTCAAACAATGTCACCCTGACGGTGGTTGAGGTCAGTATGTATACTTCACTTGTGAGTCATGCATAAGTCGGTCACCCTACGGCAGGTGTGTCTGGGTGTCCCTTTGTTCCAACTTATCCACTCCACTCGTAAGGAAACAATGAAAATAGCGGGTCACCTAAAGAGGTAGACTTTTATTGTTGGATAAGAAAGAGCGCGTTTTCCAGAATATGTGATGAGTCATCGAGAATGGAAACTTCTAGAAAGTTGGACGGGAAGTTTTGCCTGGGCAGAGCTGGGGGGGGGGGGACAGGTCTCCGGGACTGGACTGCTGTCGGTCAATCGGATCGAAAAGCGGGAGGAACAAAGAGACCCAACAGAGCTAAAGGTGAGTAAGAAGCCAAAAAATGGAAAACAAAGTGAACTTTAATAAGTGGGGCAGTTTTAAACGGCTACACAGGTTTTGAATACAACACGCATGATTGCGTTTTGCATCGCGTGAACAATGTCCACTAGAGGTGCAAATCAGGCGCGGCTGGAGAGGTGAAATTTAACTTGAAGCCACAAAAGAATTAAAGAATTTGCCAATTTATGTTTTTGAGGGAGATTTAGCCCTTTTAACCACTGTTTAAGCATGCAATTTTGCTAGAAAAGAGGTGTTGCAGCTGAATACACAATTTTACGGCCTCGATCTTGAAAGGGACTTATTTTGCAACATCGTGTAATCTTCATCCTCAAGGTGCATACTTTTCCCTTGCAAAAGACTGGAAGGATGGTTAGACACCTGTCTGACATGCAAACTTTACTAAATAAATAGACGCTCATGACTTTTTGAATAAGCTCAAAGGCGGGTCGCTTTTTCTTCACTTATGTGGTGTCGGAGGAGCTCTGCCCCCAACCATATCAGTAGGACAATCCCCTGATAGGCGGCTCTGCTCTGCAAGGGAGGGCTCTGTCCTCCCCTTATTAGAACGCGTGTATTGGCTGTCTGTTTACAGAAGGCGATTGCGTGTAAGCCATGCTTCCACCAGACTGAAAGATCGGCCGACATGCTTCAAAGACGAAGGCGCATGGCACGCTCAACGACGATCAGTTACTACTCTCTGGCCTTCACCTTTTCCAAATGAAATATAAGCTTCGCAAGGGGACACTTTGAACTCCTCCTCCACGAGGCTGCAAGAAAAATCTCTAAAAACGGATGCCCTATTTTGATATTTCCTAAACTTCAAAACAAGTGACGGGTAGATTAAAAGACCCCTAAAGCCATAAGTGTGAGAACAGCGCCACCTTTGGCCATAAAAGGATAAACTTATTAAATTTACTAAAGTTAATTCTTAAAATGTAATTCTACTTCTCTTTCATTTGTCTTTTTACTCTTTCCCTGTCAATTGGGAGGGCTGAGGGGGTAGAGGGAGTTGAGTGTAGATTAAGCAGGTCATTGTCCAATTTAAATGCTCGCGATTTTTCGGCGGTGCTTTAAACTAACATTTTTAAAATAAAGCGCTGTAAATTAACTGCGCAATTCAACTCAATGGAACACGCACTGGTGTGTCCGATCACGCAAGTATTGTTACGGTTTTGTTTTTAATTGTTCCAGTGGCAGCAGAAACGGCAGGAGTCTGCAGGCGATTTGGTTGTTCAGGTTTATTTCAATTAAACACTGTGTCTGCTAATTTGTGAGTGGAAAAAATTTCTGGTTGATAAATTCATCACTTCTATTTCTGGAGGGAACCCTTCCATTACCTCACGTACACGACACGAGGTCCTTCCACGGGGCAGTTTAGCGGCGGTGTTATGAGGTATGCGGTTCGGAGTTGACCTTTAACAATTGACACACTTTTGGCCTTCAGCAAGTAAACAACTCTGTCTGTGGTACCCCTCCTAACTATTGGCACCTTTAAAGCGCTTGTTTGCCTAACAAACGTCGGAATGCAAAGGCTATCTCCCATGACAAGGCAAGGCGTCGGCATCTACTCACGAGAGGGTGTACATACAAGTGAATAGAGGTGAAGAGCATCCCGATCGCCACTGAGACCCACTGTCTACCATTTGTTTAGCAGGGCTGATTTGTGTGTAAATGAATCGAATTCGGCCCATTTTGGACACTTCTTGATAAGTTCATGCTTAAGTAGGGAGTCATGCTAAACGTGTGGTGCCCAGCTAACTTCTCCAATCACCTCTCGTCAAAGAACACTTTTACCACGCACCAAGGCTTCCCCAAATGCGAAGGTTCTTCAGCCTTGCAAACCGCTTCAAGTCGACTATTGGAGCTTCAGGCAACGGTGAATTGCATCCATCAAACGCATCACTTACACCGCTTCCAATAAGCTTTTCCATCCCCTACCATTGTTAAGGCATCGAAAAGGTAGGAGTGCCCTGCATCCATTCCTTCATTAAGGTCATTTTTAAACCTTAAAATTCATAACTGATCATTTCTAAGGGTTTTTTGAGGCAAACGTGTCTCCGCGGCGTCAAACTAGTAAGGAATGCCACTGTCATGCATTGCGTGATGCGTCTACGCGAATGCGCAAGAAACGGTCAAGTGGGTTTGATCAATAGAGACATCCTTTTCCTTAGGGACAAAGCACGAGCTCAATCCACCCCGTTTTGTCACATCCTCCCCGCGTTCTCCTGTCCGTTTCTCCTGCGCAGCGTTGGCAGCATCGACGATGAACTAAAGTAAGTTGTCGAGGTTGAGGATTTTCTAAAATTCTGAACGGAGAGATATTAAGAATAAAGTTGTAGAAAGAAAAATGAGATCATTGCCTTTATTTCTAAGAGGTGAAATGAGTCACACAAAGAACTAAATTTTTAATTTGCCTTCACTGCCGAAAAACTTCACTCCTATTGGCTCCAAGCAGCCCAATCATCGAGCCCAAACTTCTAAAATATGTTTTAATCAGGAAAATTCCTCCTCCATTGAATTTTTTAATAAAATAATTTTGCCTTTTCTGCATTTTGGAATTAACTTCGTTTGTATTCGTCCTGTGGCTAGAAATCCCCATTTACTGAACTGATGACGTCCTCCTTTAAAGTAAAAAAAGGCATTCTCATGGCCTTGATCCCAATTTATTCGTAACTTATGCACAATGGACTGCCCTGTCCACTCGCTTCCCCTTCTATTTACTCTGGTTGTTTCTCACTACAAAGGTGAACTTTTTGTCGTCCTCTAACTTTTCGCACCTGTCAGGTCAATACAAGGGGAGGAATTTATTTCCATGGGAAATCTTCCCAAAATTGTCTCTATGATGCAAGGAGTACCTGAGTTACACATTTAAGACCTATGAGATGCGGGGATACAAAAAAATCTTAAAGGTAAGAGGATAAACCATGATTGAGGGCAAGTGAAGGTGTAGATCTATCACACCAGTCTGCAGAAGGCCACAAACCTGTGACTTCCAGTCTCGCGAAACCACTTGATACATGTCGGAGCTCTCAAAATGCCACCAAGCCTGTCAGTGACAAACTCAGCTGTGTTAGCCACAAGTCTGGAGTTTGTGATCGTCTTTTGGATGACTAATGTTTGGCATGACCTTGTGATCATCACTGTGATCAATTTAGAGTCGTGACAACCGAGATTACCTGAAAGTCACTTAAGATCAAAGCCACATGACAGGTTGGCAAGTCCCAAATCCAAACACGCATACAAATTCTGCAGTGTTTTTCCACATATTTTATGACAAAAATGTCGGGTGGATCTAACTGCGGTATTCAAGCTGGTCCACAGCTTTGAGGAACCGAGTTTAAACACTTTCAGTTGTTTTATTCAAATCTTAACAAAAAACTGCATAATTCGAAGGGGATTTTTCTAGCTATGCCTTCCGTTGATTACAGTAGGGCAAAAAAATTTGAGATGAGTTTTCATTGAACATGATGAAATGATCGTACAAAACCGTGTACAACAACGGCGAATCAAGAAATTTCCTCTTCCTTTCAGCAGTTCCTCCCGTCCGTCACTAGGAGACAACCTCTAAAGTGACAGGAACCCTTCTTACCGTAAAGTTAGGAAATCTGGCCTCAATGAGATTGCGGCACTTGGCCATACCATAGGTGGTGACGGAGCGAATGAGCACCTTGCGTTTGGGAATACCAAAAGGATCCAACTTGGAGTCGTTAGTTAGTTCAATGCTGCAGCCACTGCTGCGTGCAATACTCTTCAATCTACGATCATTCTTGTCAGTGAAGATACTTAATGCTGTCTCTGGCACCCAGAAGTGACACTCATATCTTCCGCGTTTGTTCTCCTCCATTCCTGGAGCATCTTGAGGTGGAGCTGCAGTGGTGGAGACCATCTTACGAGGTTTTCTAGACTTCTGTGAGGCCATCATTTTAGATGAGGGTATGGAAGTCCTTTGTGTAAGCTTCTTTTTATAGCCACGAGAATCAGCCGCTGAATCTGAGTCGACAGTTGATTCTACATGTGTGAAATCTGTCCCCGAGTGTAGAGTGGGAACTGTTGAAGGTGTGGAACTACTTTGAAAGCTCAATTCAACACTCGAAGTTTTAGAACAGAGTGAAGTTGGACTGATTTTCATCGCTGAGGTCTGTAGAGGCGAAACTGCAGAGTTCTCCACCTTTTCAAAATCACCTTTTGGTGACGGTTGATAGGTGACCTCAACCGATGGGAACTGCGAATCGACGTCTTTGCGTTTCAGACGTAGCAGATTCCAGCCACATTGGTTGGAGGGCAATTTGGAGATTTTTGATCCCATGGCGGAGCACTGATGGACTGCTACTGCAGGTCACAATTATGCCTATGAACTAATGACCTTGAAAAATTTTAAAAATTGTCGAAAGCGATCGATAAGTTCTTTTTGTCTTCTTTCCCGCTCCTACGTCAGGGGCAGCTGATCGCTGGTCATTATTCCAAAAATTTGGAAAAAAAATGAAAGGAAATGAAAATTTAACTCCCGTATATGGGTTAGTGGATTTAATTTTACCTAAAAGCGGTGTTCCCCTTTTATTTGCAATGATTTTTAGCATTTCCAGTGTTGGTGGTCGGCTGGGCAACTCAACTGTCAGGCCACAGGTGCTGCCACCGCTTCAATTGCCCAGCCTTTTGGTCTTTACAAGTTGAATTTTCGTTTTTAATACTAGATATCATGAATACTTGAGAAAGGTGTGTCACATATGAGTGACGCTTTTTGCTTATGTTATCTTCGTATCTGTGGAAGAAATTGAAGCATCAAAGCCACCCGTCCCTCTATAAGTTCATTTCTACAAGGTGATTTAAAGGCCTAGGAGACTAGAGAAACGTGATACTATGAATGTCCCTCGTACCCGTCTCGGAGGTAAATTTGCGGCAGGTTTATCATACGTAAAGAAGCCGACAATTTTGTATCGCAGACAATACATCCGTTCACCTTAAATTTCACAATATGCAGGTTTGTGAAAGAGGGGATAGAAGTTAAAAACGTGATGAAGATGAGGACATTGGTGTTCTGGTGGTTAACTGGGCCTTATGAACAAGCAAGTGTTTGCAGTGAGCTTCGCCGATAACAGCACGAATATCCCGTAAATGACATTTTTCGCCGTTTTTGACAAGCGACTACTTGGAAATCCTCCATGGTTTTACCTATTCTGCAAACACACCTCCTTTAGCGACACTAGAAAAGGCGAAAACCCAATGGAGAAATATGAAGGCAACAAAAGTAGTGTGGATGCATCATTCTCTTCCTTCCTGCCTCAACTCCATCCCTAGCAGTGGTACAAGATCTTTTTGCGAGTAAATTCTAAAGCGATTTGATGCATAAGGTCTTGCTCTACCACGCAAGCGTGATTAACTAAGTCCACCTCATTCCCAAAAAAGTATTTTTTACATATTCTCCACCTGTATCACATCAAATGGAAAATCGCGGCTGTAATTGTCCTTTGACCTTCGGGAAGGAGAGGATTTCTTTCAGAGTACACACACATATGCACACAAACACAGGACAAGTATATTATCTTAGCAAACCAGTTTGCCTTTGAAAGGGTGGGTTAAGCAAGCCCTCTTCTTCTGGCGATAAGCAATGATGTGCTTCCTGGAGGAGAGGGGTGTTTACAGCCTCATCGGAGATATTTTCTTCGCCATATTTTACGACACCTTTTATTCTTGCGAGTTCGAATTTTTCCGATCCTGACAAATTTCTTTTATATTTGAGGAAAATAGTTGTATTTAGAGCTATCAACTGCCTGCCAAATGCATTGTTTGTTCTCAAGATCACCGATAAATGATAAACAGGTAAGAGTTAAGACTACGGAATAGCTTTGTCTTCGTTCGTAGCTAGTCGGCCGTGGGTATTATTGCCCTCTACATCAACTGGTGAAGTAGATGGGATTGATGTACCTCCGCCACACTTGGATATGCTACTCGAGCAGCAGCGGGATTTAATGACGAAGTCAGTACAGACGAAGGTTTCGACCACAGCACCATTAATTGGTAGTATTAGTAGCACCGCAGCGGTTTCACCAATAATCCCCAAGTTCAGGAGGCATGAAAACCTGTTCGTCTCCCTTGCACTCTGCAGGATGGCGTGTGGAAGGCTCAGCCCTGCTATGCTTGATCCGAATCCGCGAGAATGGACCTTTGACGAGACGGTAGAATCTAACTGACTGGCCCTAGGTCTTTGACACGCTGTGCAATTGCTTGATACTTGGAAAGAATGAGACAGATGACTAATAGACAAGCTGAAGTCATTACTTGTCGACCTGTCTATTATCGTCTGTCGCCGTCAATTAACAAATATTTGCCAATATTCGGGTAGGTTTTCTAAATTGTCCAAAGAAAGTCCCAGACGTCAAACTTGTCCTACTCCCTAAAAAGTGCTAACTTTTGATCAAACTACGGTATAAAGGCCGAGGTAGACTCAAAGCCCATTTAGTGAATCAGTGCACCTTCACTGACCTAGTGCCAATGACGTGGGAGACCTCTCTTTCCCTGATGCCACTGCGGGGCCTAGAATCGTATCAGAATCTGCATTGGCAAACAGGACCGATGTCTCTACTGCAACAGTGTTGGCCCTCCGGCCACCTGAACTGGCATCGGATCCTCTTGCCCTTCTCTGCGACCTTTTCCTCCAAGTTGTTCAAGCGCGCGCTCTGAAGGCAGTAGCAAAAGTGACACGTAGAGAGAAGTTTTTCTCCGTTGTCAAGGCTATATCAAAAGACCTTCATAAATACGAGGATAATCTGTCTTTGACAGTCGGGATTTTTCCACTATAACTTCTCAAAGTGTTACAAGAGGCCAATCAGATGTGAATGCGGTATTATCTCGGCTTATAAGGTGACAGCTAAGCTTCGATCACTTCTATCTGATAACAAATGGGTTGATAAGCAGAGGAGGGTAGTAGAGGGCACAATAAGTGACATGGTAACAGTAGATATAAACAGTGGTGTGGACTTTTAAGCCCAAAATCAAAAGTGGTGCGAACTTCTCGGTTAAGTGTTGGTACCTACAATTGAAAATTCGAAAACGGTTTAAGTGCAGATGACACCACTTCCTCGGGGAGTGAATTCATTTTCTGCTGCCACAGCATGCCTTCACCCTCATTCGGTGGTCTAAAGAGTCAAATTTTTTACATCTAGTATGCGAATTCCCGGCTGAGTCCGTGTTATTAGATGTCAGGCGCTCGGACGCAAGTGAGGGTTGTGCTAAACACCCAGTTGCCTCATCGCAAAAGAATGTCTCAGTGACCATTTCTACCTTCTTACATAGGCTGAGAATTTTCCAAGAGGGATCGCAGGAGCTCCGTCGCATTGCTTCAATAGACTGGCTCTAAAATGTTCTACCAAATCTATCCGAGAACCACTGAATGCTCATTTCTCAGGCTCGTCTAAATTCCCACCTGACTTCCCGGAATTTGCAATTATAAGTCCCAGAAAAGATAATATTTCCAAAGTCAAAAATCTCTCATTTCTTCAACCTTGTTTCTTTTAAATAAATGAAACATCTGTCTGCTGTTTCAACGCTGGCAGGGTGGGAAGGGGGGTTTGGCGTTGAGAGAAAGGAAAATTAAGTCCCAACAAACAGATGCCAACTTATTTGCCATGGGGGAAGTTGTCCATCTCCACCCTTCGCCAACTTTTAAAATCTCTCTACTATTTATATTTTGACAGTTATTGATTGACATTTTGCTTCTCAGAGTTTTTTTTGTTTTCATCTTTTAGGTGGCAAGCGGACTTCCTTGTTTCCCGAGGTGGAGACTAGCGCCCGTCCAACACTACCCTTACTACACAGATATAAGGTATCTCCTTGCCATTAATTCGCTCGATATCCAAGGGACTAGAATCGAGAGGGAGAAGGGGAAAGCATTAACACTCAATTCTCGAAAATGAGGATTTTATTTCTGAGCGGCTCACCAAATAAATTGCAGAAATTGGACAAAATTTTTTTTCTGTTAAAAGTGACAATTTGACAATGAAAGTAACACGTCATTATTCAAAACTTGACAAGTGCGTCGAATTGGGGAAAAAATGGGTTATTTTTGAAGGGCCTGCAATTACTCCTATTTACCAAAGCCAAGGTGACGTCGATACTAGCGCCAACGTCCGATCCCAATGCCGCGCGCTGATTGGCCAGGAGGTTGCCCAAGAGCACACATGATTGGTGGTCACAGCCGCCAACGTTGAGCTGTCAGGATTCGAGTTAACGAGTTTCATTTGGACATAAGAACACATATTTTGGCGCGTCAAATCATGTCACTTGGTCAGCCAAGGTCGCAGCCACCAGGTTTAGGTATAAATTCAACTGGTACTCAATGCAGACCGGAAAATCTACTCAGTGTCTGTGTCCATTTGGAGCAGAGGTCCTCCAACACTGCGGCCAGTACGGATTCTGAATTTACGGAATTTTGCTCTAGTGGTACGTGGGAATTTGGGTTATGAACAATTGCCGTGTCTGTGGCCTTGTGACACATGCTGCAAAATTTGTAAATCAAGCTATGAAAAACCGTAAAATAGTGGTGGATTTTTTCCCTCCACTAGTGTAAAATACACCCCCACATTATTGCTCGAGAAATGTTTTCTGATTTTTACCCCTACCTTTTAAAAGTGCATACGCTATCTAGATGTCTCGCCTCATGCCAAATACTCTGAGGCGCGAGCTCTCAGCCATGATGAAGTAACCCATGCTTGGAAAGAAATTAGTGAATTTTTAAACGCGTTACTCTGAATTGTTTTAATAATTTTTTGGCCCTCTTAGAATTTCTGTTTTTGTAGTTTATGTGTCTAGTAAACGTGGCACTTTATTTTCTTAAGTAAGTGACCCAAAATAAACTTAAAACTTAAGGAGTCCAACCTTGACCTGTGCATTACAAATGCCGTGTTGGCATGCTGTGGGTCCGTGACCCAGACACTGTAAACCCCACAAATTCTTGCAGCATTAGAGGGGAGATGTGGGCTTCAATGATCACCCAGGCCATAGCACCGGAAATGTGAGGTAATCAGTTGGGGGGAAAAAGAGGGGATGGGAGGATAAATGGTTCCCCAATTACGGATATGTGCGTGACTTGATGTCGCCAAAATTGAGGACAGTGTAAATTTCATCCAGTTTTTTCACACAATATTGCACCATTTTTTTACCACTCTCTTCCTTGTTTTAACTTTAAAATATGCCCTGAAATAAGTAGATGAGCACAAATGGGGATCCAATTGGCAACTTTGACTTTTGTTGTCTATAAAAAGTGAGTATTTTATTGGCTCGTGGCCTTTGAATGATCGTCCAGATAAATGCCCTCTCGGCCTCGGTCTAACCAGTTGATGGGTTCCTTTTTTCTCCCTCTCGCCTTTTCTGTTTGGATTACAGGGGAGAAACTATCTCTGTGGAGGGAAAGTCATGACAGCTGTCAAGCTTCGCTACCATTCGATTAATCATTACAGAGATGCTGACTGTTTGTTTCGTGTCGTAGGTGTTGGGTTTTGCTGCTTGATAGTTTGAGGTTAAAGGGAAGGCAAGGATAAGGTTTTGAATAACGAGTACTTAGATGGATTGCACCTTCTCAGAAACGTGGGACATTCGGTCACTATTACTGAGGTGTAGGAGGAAATACCGGCCGAATAGGCGCGTCTTTGGGCAAATCAGCGTAGTTTGGGAGGTGAGATGCCTCTCGCAACTGCCTGGTCTAGTTATTCGTAGATTTGCCTGCCCTCCAAATGCAAAAGCGGAAAGCTTCTTCTTCCAGCAATCCGTTAATCTAACCACCTTAATATCTAGAGCAGTAGTGTTTGAATTGACGGAATAAGTAAGAACAGCCACGTCTTTATTAGTCTTTATGAATATGCAGAAAAATCAATCTCTTTTGTTAAGTTACCTTACTGTCAGTCAGAGCACGGATCATAAAGTCATTAAATCGGTGTTTGATAGTTTTACAGAGCTTTAAGCTTCAAATCTTTGCAAACGAAAGGGTTGGAGGACATATATAAACCGTGCAAAAGCAAATTTGTACTTCGGTATATTTAGCTTCAAATCAGCCAACTTCAAACTTTGACTGCGCAAACGGCCTGCTCTCCGCATGGTTCACATAGGTGGGAAGCTGACAAGTCGTCTGTCATCGAGGTTCTTAAAAGTGGTGCAAAACTGGCCATCACCTTGGAAAGCGAACCACAAAGCTTCCATTTCTAAGGCCAAAGCGTGGTAGGCAATGAAAATAGCCCGCGTGGCATCACAGTCGATCTAAACAAACGTTCCTCCTACCTCAGTCAAATCCGTTTTTAGTGCTAAAAATCTGTGAAATTTTTCTGTATATGATAGAAAATTTGATTCTAAAAAATATTTTTTAATTAGTCGTTTTGTGTGTGCTCCCTTTTTGGCAGCAACAATCGCCTTTCGGTTACCTTTTTGTATGGATTAATTATTTTGCTAAGATGAAGATGACAAAAATTTGACAAATTGCAGGGGAAAAGACGGGTAGGGTGGAGGTAGATGTGTAGAACGACGTTTATTTGATTCTATAAAACGAATGGAAAGAAGACGTTTATCTATCTAGCATGAAAAAACCTGAGAGTTTGCAGCGACTTGATGCTTTGTTTACCTGTGTGGTGAGCCACCCGGGCACTTCAGTCCCCCCATCATGGCCTTTGATGTCTTCTCTTAAGGTCGCACTGTCGTAGATTATTGTGATGTCTGAGAGGCCTTGGAATGCTGCAGAAACAACTAAAAGTAAATTCCATTTTAAAGTTTTGCGGATTTAATCTGACACTCTAAAGTGGCTAGTGGACAAACAAGAAAGAGTTAGTATTAATCATATAAACACATGTAGAGAAAAATGAAAGGGTCTCTGAATGGGTTTGATTGCCTTATTGGTAGAGCTCGAAGTCATTTGGGTGTGCGAATCTGACAGATAGATTCTCTCTCTCTCTCTCTCTCTTACTCTCCTGGGATATGCCATCCATTTCGCTGCAGTAATTTAATGTGGTTTCATGCCTTTGGCGAAACTCGGGATTATGCCTTAGGCAAAATCGAGCAAAAATCAAAATTTAGGGGCTATTTTTTAATGAAAAAGTGTCTTTTACATTCAGATATGGTGAGCCTTTACTTTCTAGTTTCATCACCAGAAAGGGAGTACACTACTTCTCCGATCTCATCAGTCGGAAAAAAACACTTTTTGCTCCTAGATGTTTACGTCCTGTTCTGTGGTCAAACCATATCTCCTGTGATATCGCGCAATGCTACTGAATGGCCATATCAGTAGTGGCGAATTTCATCAACGATATAAAAGAAATTTAGATAGATAAGCAGGCAAACGCTTTTTCTTTTCTTCGCATAATCTTCTCGGCATAATCTTTTTACAGCTAATGTGCAAAATGCGCTAAACAGATTAAGGGAAAAAGAACTCTATAATTTTTTATTTCGCCTTTTTTTCCGCACCTCACTTAACAAATACTCTTGACTCCCCTTCTGCAAAATCTCAAAGTGAAATTGAATTACCTGGCTTAAAAAAGAATTAGCTAACTTTATCTTCCTCTTGCCCTTCTTCTCTGTTAAAAGGAAAGAATCACCAAGAGCGGAGGCAAAGTGGCGGCAAATTTAGAGGCGCCAATGTACTTCTGGGACAAATTAATAAGTGTGGACTCCAAAAGTGCAGAGCATTACACCCCACACGGTGTCCCGTTTGATGAATATGCGTAATATTTGACAAAATTAGATGACCGCCCATTGGCCTAAGCCTCGAGAACTTAAGCCTCTTTTTTCACCATATTATAATAAAACTGTAGACGTACTTTTCGGAAGTCGAGTAACTTCCACTTTCCCCTCCCCCCTCCAAATAAAATAGCGAACCCAGGCGCACTTACTTAAGCCAAAATGTGTGCTCATTTGATTAGTTTACTTAAACAAGTCGAATTTGGACTTATATGCAGCAAATAACCCTTTTTAGTAACTGTCTTGGAGACAATTGGAATTACTTTTTCCCGCCTAATTATCAAATGTTTTGGTAATTTTTTGGGTCAGAAAGTCGTCTCAACGATTGCAAGAAAAGCCTTACTTGCATACTACTTAAAAGTAACTAAGGCGCCTGATCCATCTTTTGTAGGTACCATGTATGGAAGCATTGAAGTGACGCTTCATAAGCAAAAATATGCCTCATTGGGTATAACCGTCTCCGGGGGTGTTGATCGTGGATACCCCCCCCGCATCACCACCATCAAACCCGGATCCATAGCTGACAAGTGAGCTGTACTCTTCACGTTTGAGTGTCAACTAGGACATAATTGGTTGTCATTATTTGATGTATATCCACTTGATGTATCTCTTTCATTGACAGAAGTGACTGCATCCTTGTCAATGATGTGATAAAATCAATAAATGGAGCAGCAACCGCCAATTTAACCCACGAACAGATTGTCAAACTTACCAAGAATGCGGATGCTACAATTCGCTTGGGATTAGAGTACGTTCTCACCGACTCAGGTAAGAATAATTTCCCTTTTTTATTTAGAAAAATTAAAAAAACTGCTCTACAATGAGAGTATTCCAAAAGTATTAACTCCAATTTTGACATTCCCAAATAAGTAGAATGAGAGAAAAAATTAAAAAGGGAAAAAGTTTAGTCTTGCCTTCTTTTTTATGAATTCCAGGCCTGTCTGATTAACCACCTAGTGTAAGAAGCTGGAGCTGGACTTCCTGCTGCTGTTCGGTAGGGGCCTAGATGTAGACAGAAAACCATCTCCAATGACTTGTAGAGAGAGAGAGGGCGGGAGACGTATGTGCAGATGGTGCGCGAATCTTCCTGCCACATTCCTTTGTGTTTTGTTCCCATAGGCGAATAAATCCCCCTCTCGCTTCCTCGCCTTTGGGTGGGGATGAACATCAAGGAATGCATTGATCGTATCCCATTGGCCAGATGGAAGTGATCATGAAGTACTATCATTACATTCTCCTTGATTTTGGTATAAATTTGGCTGATCAATCTTTCAAAAAGTAAGCATTAGAAGGTGTTTGGGGGGTAGGAGGAGGGTAAAACATTAATATTGACTCCCACACCGCTGTCGACTTTATACGATGCGACCTTCAAGTGGCCTTCAGGTAATGGGTCTCAACGAGTTCATATTCTTGTTGACAACCCTTTCCAACGATGCCACTACAAGCGTCTACAAATAAGGTGAATCTCAGAGGCGAATCTACCACCACAGATCAGATAGATGATTATTCTGTTGTGTCAACAACGGTAAATTTGACTGGTCCTTACAAAATACACTTATTTGTCAGATCGGGTGCAGTCAGCTTTATAAGAAAGTGATAAATAACGCGGATCACATGTTGGTGGAGAAAAATGTAAGAACGTCACATGTGTAGAACATGTGTTAGCGGCGTTAGAGGGTACATCCTCATTATTACATTGGATAATATGAGGTCTGAGAAAAAAAATCTAAATTGATGGTAAAATCTACCACTATTGCCAATTTTTAAACTGTCCGTTTAGAGGGAGTCAAATAAAACAAGTCGTGAACTGATACGAGTGCAAGGCCTTGGACTCCCTTGAGGAATTTGAAGACAGAGGTCTCAGTGCATGGACGGTACGGATTGTGTGTCTGACTACTTAATGACCACAAGGGATATAAAATAGGCCCTACTTTGCTTATTTGTGGCCCTTTGATTGGCCTTGAACCCTATAGTGATATTGACCAATCAGGATAAGGAAATGAGGGCGCAGCTTTCAAGACCTCCTAAAATGTTAGGCAGACTAATCACGAGAGTAATAGATTTTAGAAAATTTAAGATGAAGAGTTTTCTGGGGTGGTAGGGATCCCCAACAAGTACATTTTCATCATCACTAGTGAATAACACTGCTGGAAGCGCTTCCCACTCGATTGAGCTCGGCAGGCATACCGAGGTCTTTCCACATTCGAAGCATTTCCTGATGGTGTGTCGTTTTTTAATGCTTCTCAAATGTTTTTAGAGGTTTCTGTAGCCAGATATACTCAAATCATATTTATCCAGTTCGTCCAATATTGTTTTGACATGATAATGGTTTAATTGTTTAAAGGAAAAAAGAAGAAAAGAGAAAATTGGTTTGCCGCTTGGTGTGGCTGTAAATTATGTGCTCTACTTTCACCTCGATTTCCTCCTCTAAGATAGAGTAAGTGTCAAAGAATTGTTTAATCACATCAGTGAAAAAGGGACCAGGAAATGGTAACGAACATGAGGACCATCTACCGCTAAGCGCTTCACCAATCTGCTTCTGGACTTTGGATTCCTCTACATCAACCTCTCCAGGGGTTAAGAAAAGCCTCTTCCGAGGTTACCTTGCCTTGCAAGAAATGCCTGACAAGCTCCATTCACATCCATCAGATCCGCCCGATACTCTATGACACGCTAATGACTTCGAGGGAAATCTATTGCCTCCTCTGAAAACATCCCCCGAGTTTACACACATAAAAACTTTACAATTCCTCATGGCAAAGTTGTACTGAAGGCCTTTGCAATGCTACAGTAATTTTCTATTTACTATTGCTTTGGAAGGCCTTCAAAGGTGATCTTTCAGTACCCAAGCCTAACTTTGCATATGTGGGTGTATAGAGACACGTAGAGGAAGATTTACTTCAAGTTGTGAAGTAATTTTACGGCAGTCTAATAAATGATAGTCCATGAGAGTTGTCTCAAAGTGCCGAAATGCGCTGGTTCAGTTCCACCTCGCCTCGTCTCACCGCTCCCCACCCCGCATTGCTTCGTCTCTCCTCCGTTTTTCTTTCCCTTTTTTCCTCCTCTGCTCGAAAAAATAACGGTCATTCGGATTTGACACTGCTCGTCCAAAATCCAAAAATCCAGGCTTTTTCCACCCTCTTTATATACAAATCAATTAAACTACTAGTAGTTTTGTGTCATCTTAAAGTTATCACTAATAAAGTTTACAAAATTATTGTTTTATCAATTAGGAAAGTTTAGCAGTATTGGCGCCTCCGATTGGTTGGATGACTGACAATATCCACTGACACCGACATCGATTGACGCCTTTTAAATTGCCCTTGCTTCAAATGACACTCACCTGATTAATCATGGTTATTTTTGGCCATTCCAAAAGGCATTCAGACATAATGGCATTTACTTGCCTAACGGTCAAATGCGTGTATTTAACAGAGCATAATTCTCCCAGCCTGCGCATTTCAAGAAGGGAGAAGTTGAAGAGGGTCGGGGCGGGCCGGACAGGATGAGAGAGAATGGGGAGAGAATGTACGAGTGCTTGACTTAAATTCTTTGCACTCTTCCCATATGACAGTGATATGACATTTTCTTGACTTATGATCATTCCTTCTGGTGAAGAAATTGTTGCAGGATGTTGAGGGGAGAACGCTTTCTCCTTGTGAATAGCGTAGGCTCTCTCTATACGGGCGAACTGTTTTGGTACTTTTAGTGAAAGCAGCCACCACGAAGCATGCCTTTATTCATTTGGAACCAGCCAATGAGTCATTTGGGATAACTGTTCGTGGTGGACTGTCTCCAATGGGTAACGGAGTATTTCCCCTCACCATTTGTCGAATTCGACCCAAAAGTTGTGCTGATTTGTGAGTTATTTATCTCCTGTATACCAAAACAATCTCTCGTTTCTCAAAACTAAGCGAATTTATTGGTCGTGCAGAATTATGTTTATTCAGGCGCACATACTACTTAATTAGAAGGCGCATTAATTAAGTAGGTTTTTGAAAAAAAAAATATTTCAAACGCCATTCCGTATCCATTTAAAAATAGACGCATAAGGTTCCTTTCCTCATTCTTTTGCTCTAGAAACGGCTGTCTTAAACAGGGCGATCGACTATTGGCTATTGACGGTGTGCAGACTTGTGGATTAACCTGTGAGGAGTCTATGAAACTTCTTGCCTGCTATCGCAGTGGCATATCTCTATTCATTGAATACGATGTCGCTGATGTTGGTGGTAAGGAAAGAAAAGAGGGACAATAAACCAGTTCTCTGATTTGCTTTATTTAAGCTAGGAAGACATCGTAAAGCCCACACACACTTGGGCTTGGTCATTTGGGTACACGACCGCACAAACAATGTGACTGTCAGATAGTGCAAAAGGGAAGAATGAAAAGTGGAAAAGAAAAATCTGTCAGTGACGTGATTAAAATAGGGCAAAGTCTGTTGCTAGCTGCTTAAACAAATCTGCGGACAACTAACTCCTCTCTTTGCCTCGATTTCTTTAGCTGATGGTCGTCAAGGTACCGGTCCATTTGAAATTGACATTGAGAAGCTGCCATCGGAACGGTTGGGGGCAAATGTCGTGACCTTTGGTGATCCATTGCAAGGCACTAAACGCCTTCTAATCAGTCACATTCGAGATGGTAGCATTGCTGACAGGTAGGCTGACAGTTCTGTCATGGTTTACTTTTCAAAATGGCTCTCCCTTATGTTTTCTTCCTCCCCTTTTTTATCAAAACATTTTAAGATGTGGAGCGCTACAAGTTGGTGATTTGATCGAATCAATAAATGGGATGAAGTCCAGCGAACTGACCCTTCAAGAGGCCATTGGTCTTCTCAGCGACTCCGCCTCACGTTCCATTAAATTGCATATTCTTCCATGTCCAGAAATTCGTAAGTTTTTTAGTAATATCCTTGACCTACAGTAAATCACCATAAACCATGAGGGTGGACTAGTCTTTCGTGCGAACCTGTTTATAATTCAACAATTAGGATGAAGGCGGGGCGGAGGTGAGCGAAAGAAGTGGGAAGTGATGGGAGGACAGTCAAACGCTTCCCACCCACCCAAAGATGCTACGTGTTTGACATCCTTAACCCTACTTCTGGGATAACCGTATGCCCACTTTTCACTCCCCTTAGACATTCATCTTCTTCCCTCTTGTGTTGTGCTTTAAAGCGACTGAGGAAAAGTAGGAAGTAAATTAAAATGCCTGATTGAACAGCCGGTTTTCCTATCCACTGGATTACCTAATAATGAGAGAGCACATTGTAAAAACTTGTTGCTTATAAAATCATATGCTGACATAAAATTACTGCCCTGGTTGGTGATTTTGGCCAACCAATGTGAAGAAAACAAATAGGAATCCAAACCGGTTAGGCATTCTTACCTCCAATTTAATAAAAAAAAACACAAAAGTGAGGGTTCATATTTTTTTTTGAAAGTGATAGGGAAAAGCAAACTAGAAGTTGAATATTATGTATTCAGAATAACAGTGAGTCATGGTAGTATTCGAGAAGCGCAGACAGAAATTGCGAATGTGCCCCTCCCATCCCCCAATAAAATGACGGTTGCCAGTTGTGAACGCGCTACGTCGCCAGTTTGAATGGGAATGTGGCTGCTGCTGCCACTGCTGCTTCCCGACTAAAGAATTCCACAATCACCGGCATCATCATCACCGACATCACCATGCTGCCTTACATGACAATGCCTTTCTGCTTTGCCTTAAAAAATACGAAGGAAACTACATTTAAATCTTTCTAGAATCTGATTGGTGAATTTGCATTTGTACCCATATCATCGATCCATTCATAAATAATCAATAAATTTTTGGCCAGTCGGAGGTATTTGCACTAAAATCTCAGCCTAAGGGTGCAGTAAGTAAAAGTGCAAGTGCCTATCTTAACTTGCCAAGTTGGTTCGCCTCCATTTTATCTCCAGACGGCAATTTCGGGGATTAAGTAAGCAGCCTGCAAATTAACTAATTCATTTCAACCTTCCTAACTTTGGGGAATGTAACAAACGGTTTGGAGGGAGAGGCGAGGCCGGAGGAAAAAAAAATGAGCTGCCCCATCTTGCGTCAAAATTAAGGAGAATAAATTTTAAGTAGAATGGAAAAAGAAGCTCCTCGATGAGGCCACTGGCGGCTATTCGAGCGTGCATGCGCTTGCGCGTGCATGCACGCACGCAATCAAGTGGACTCGGCCCAATCACCGCAAGATAACAAGAGTGCGCGTGTCTACTAGCCCAAAAGCACACTTTCGTACATTGTGGCTGCTCGTCGGTGGTTGGTCAGTCCTTGCAGTTTGATGCGCGCGCCGACGAACACAGTGCACACATTCATGCCGTGGAGTGATGGTAGAAGAGGTGAAAGTAATGTCAAATATGTAATCACACCTACTGTTCCTCTTTCTTTATCTCCCTCACACCTTACTGCCGATACTTATCCGACCCGCTGCATCTGTGAATACATATACACCTAAAATTGAAAAAATATCCCGTTGAATTAAGCGCGTTGTCAGCTGAAAAACAATCGAAATTTTGACTGCGTACTATGCCAAACCCATGCATCAAAGCGGTGGGAATCGAAGTAGAAATCATCCAAGTGGACGCAAGCCCAATTGGAGCACTCGAAAGGGTTTTCCAGAGGAGGCAGGAGGTGTGTCGAATCCTGGCGCCGTGGAGGCGCCCATCGGTTGGAATATTAAATCCGCCCATTTGGAATACTCAAGGGTTAATCATTTTGACGAGTCGATACCCTCCAGATCCTCCTACTGTCGACGGGAACGAGGTCATCGATTACCGACCTCGGGACGAGTCAAACAATCACAACATTGTAGGTCAAACTTGGAATAAAACGTCTTTTTGGGAATTTAAGAAAGGAGTCGAGTAATAATTTTTGCTGAAAGTGGAAGAAAGTCCTGGCGATTTTTCTTTTATAAACCCGCCCCATTTTAATGCCTTTGATTTGATTCCATCAGCCATTTTTTTTATTTCACGGGCTGTTTTCTTCTGGATATTTTCATTTAAACCGCCGTAAATTAATGACCATTCTCCTCGGCTTTGTTTATTTATTCCTTTTTCTCTCTCACTGCAAATTTTATTGGAAAATCTCTTCTGCAAATTTTGACACAATGTTAAAGACTGCGTACTCAAAATTCCCCCAGGTCAGTAAAGGAGATCAAATGAGATGCAATTGGATGACTTTATGACCTCCCCAGATTCATTGTGACCATTTAATTAACATTTTATATAATGTAGAAGAACAAAACACAGCAAACCAACCTGATATCTCCAAATCTTGATATCTCATCTAGATTGTGGCACATAGGTATACATCCCTATGTACCACTAACTAGTAAATAGATTTACCTTTTTGGACTTCACAGATTGGGCTGATGAAATAACTTTAGGAGCATTCAACTTTTACTCAATGAGCTTCTTTGGGGTGTACTTTTAACAAAAGTCATGGCGCCTAAACACCAACTGATACCGAGGATGAAAAATTCGGTGTTGATGTCATCATATTTCACGACATGCTTCTTAGAAGCAACCAAAGTTGGTGGGAATTGGACATTTACTTGGCCGCTGAACGAAATCTCGGGTTTGGGATTTATTCACTCATAAAATTATTTTTTTCAGCAATGTGCTCTCATACTACTGAATTTAGAAGGAGATAATTTAATATGTCACTCTAGTTGGTAGAATTTCTTTTTACATTTTGAAAACCGAAAAATATTTAAATTTTTAAAAAGGAGGCATTTTCCACTCAATCTCAAAATCCTTGATCAGTGGAAGACACTGGCGTTGTTTTATGACAAAAATCAGGTCATAAATTTAAATAAATTTTATGGCACACCATGACCAGATAAATAGGAAGAAAAATTAGTTTTTGGGGAACAAAAACGGGCGGTGGAGGGAGACAAAAATCCTTCGATTTATTTATTTAAATTTATTACTATTTTTAAAAAAAGTGCTGCCTTTTTTGGGTAACTTTACCAAGGCGGTGGCCATTTGCCTTCGCAGCTTAGTAAATTTTTGGGTTTCCGCCTCAGTCCATGTGTTTTGTTTTTGAGCCATAGAAATGGATTTTTAAAGAACTTTGGAAATAATTTGTTTTGCCAAATAGGAGGACTTTAAATAAATTAGGCACGGTCTCTGGTCTATTCCCTCACCAACTTCGGGTTTGGGACAAGTGAATCGACACCGCAGGTGACCTTTCGTTTTTGAAATATTTCATGCACAAAATGCAGTGGCTCGCCTTTATTTGAAAGAGAAAAAAAACGAAGGGTAGCGAAAAAAATTCAACAACTTTGGCTACGCGAGGAGAATACAACACCGGAAGTTGTTGTTGTTCGCATTCAGTGGGGAGTAGGGAGGTGGAGTGGAGGGAAAATTTAATGAATGTTGACTTGTGATTAACTTTTGGGGAGGATTTAAGCCTAAAAAATTGGCTCCTTTTTTGTGTGGCTTGGTGACAATTTCCCTTAATCTCTTTTTTTTAAAACTGCCTAAAAAGTTGGGTAGATTGGTGAAATGATAGAAGACTTTGGCGTTTGTGGTGTAGCATGCATCGCTTTCTGTCGGTTTGTATTTTGTTGGTTTTGAGGTCATACTGGCGCATAAATCACGCTTAAGGCAGATGCATCAGCGGGCTTTATGATCCTCCTCGCTACACAAGCATACCAACATTTATGTTTGTATTCGGGCCAAGGGACTCAAGCCCACCCCCGTCTCCCTTTCCCTCTCTCTCGGTAGAATATGCTCATCTTATCCCAAGGGGAAAGAAGGCCAAGAAATTCATCCCTTCTAGCCGCATAATTGTACATAGCCTTTGAAATTAACGCACAACGACTGATAATGCATACAGACAGTTTAAATAAAAGTGACAGCTTTGACATTTGAGGAATTTGACAGGTATGCAGCATTTGTTTCAGCCTCCTTAGTCGAGAAAATTGGCCAGGAGAAGGTGTCTTTTGTTGTGCAAAATGGAAGGGAGGGGGGTGGTTATACAAGTTATGAAGTTTTCATGGAGAAACCGGGGTTTATCTGGCAGTGTGAAGAGCCCTTTGACCTCTGCTCCTCACTCACCTGCAGTTCGTATAGTCACACCGCGTGTCGCCAAGTTGTCGATAGCTTTTTTCCCATTCATTCCCTTTCAGAAGTGACAAACATTGACAGATATGCGGTATTTGGCGTGGTATAATGGAGGGTTTTTAAGATTAACTGATTGATTCTCCTTTTTACAATTTTTTGGTGCCACTGATAGCTTAAATAATTTTAAGGATCAAGCTTCAACAGAAAATTGTTCTTTTTTTAGATGACTCAGAGAATTTCGATTTTTACCCAGATTCCTTAATATTAAATGCTTTGTTACCCTTTTACATTCATTTATTTTTTAAGAATTAAAATGCTAGATCTCTTGCGTGCCCGATGTAGTCAATCACCTACCAACTACCTATTAAAAGAAACAGAAAAGAAACACAAAGAAAGGACGGAGAGTCATGGGGTAAATTAAACACTTCAGTAGGTCCAACGACCTCGTTATCCCCCGCGGTGGTGTATGGCGCAGGTCTCTGTCGAACGGAGGAGGTGGAGGTGGTACTGGAGGCCGCGCCACCCCAATCTCTAGGCGGGGAGTCCCGCCGACGCTTCGGAGGATACCCTGCCAGCCTCTTCGGCTTCTCCCTTCAGCCACCCCGTCCCCAGACTCGGCACGACGAACCTCTCACCAACTTCCCTCTCATTGCAAACGTCATTCCTGGTGGACCTGCCTTCCAGTGAGTTGGCTGATCCTCTTTTCAAAACCTGTGAGATAAGGCTTCTCTTGAGGTGGTCTACTTGGCTCCACTGACTTTAATCCTACCTTTTGTGGACTCTTTATCAGTTGCTATGGCCACGATAGCCCTTAACCATTCAAACAAAGTAGAATTAACTTTTTTAGGTCGAATTTTATTTTCAACATGGGCGAGTTCATTCTCTTTGGGTTTATTTACTCCACATTCTGTCTTCTGAGTGGTATCGGGCCGTGCACCGACAGACAAATTTGGTGTGCACCAGTAACAGTGAAATGGATGATTCCTATCCTCGAAGTGCCAATCCATTCTTCATTGTCAAGGTCAACTGTAGAAGGGAGTTTACACGAATTGGAGAAAATGTTAGTCCCCCGCTTTTTTGCAGGTCCACTTTTACTCGATTTGTTTCAACCAGGTAAATTCATAAGCAAAAGTATTTTTAATGTAGGAAAATTCCTCGTTAGTAATTCACACCTAATTAAAGCTTTGTTTATTACCGGTTGCTTTAATTTGTTGATTTCTATTCAGCAAAAATCGTGGCAATTTTTGGGGTTCATGAGCGAATTGGGCCAATTAATCTTGAGGAATCGTTTGTCCTATTAAAATAAATTTACAATAAAGGCAAAAAATCTGAAAAAATTTATTCACTTTAATTTTCAGGTGACATTACGAATAGGGCGCTCTCCTTTTTTCTTTTGTCTCCCGACTAACCTGTAGTCTGACCTACTTGTTGACAAGACCATTTCCCCCTTTCTGCTTCACTTTCATTACTTGTTGAATAACTTTTCGACAGGACAAATTCATTTTCTTGCAAAAAAAAGATTTTTTCTTAAAGAATACAACCTATACCGGCAAGTTTGACAACAGTGAAAGATGCTTTGTTATTTTTAAATGAAGAGAAAAACCAAATACCTGTTTATTTCTGGTGGGGGCGGGGGGACTTTGGTTGTAAAGAGGGGATGTTGTGGATTAACTTGGCTTTTATTTTTAAAAATTGTGTCACAATGCTGGCATTCCTTGTGTTTTTCTCCCCCCATCAAAAGGTGCATAGTCAGCTTGTCCAGAAGTTCTCACACTTTGAGTCGGATGGGATGAAATTGCCTTTGAAAGGTTGTCCGTCATCTCGACAACAGACTGCAAGTAGGAGAGGCCTAACTTTAGATTCTCCCTTTGGTGTAGCACTTTAGGAGGGGTGGGGGTAGCAGATTGAACCACCCTAGAAATGGAATGTGGGCATCACATCAAGGCGGACCTTCACCTTCTCTATTTTTGATCCATTTAAATGGGAATAGACTTAAATGACAACTCGGATCAAGAAAGGAAACAAAGAAGGGAAGGATTTTATTGTAAAAGACACCTGAAGACTGGTTGTGGAGTAACTGTCCAATTTAAGGACAGGTCTCTCTTCTTGCTCTTCCCCCTCCTCCATCCCCCTCCCCTACCCCTCTTTCTTTACCCAAGAGAAGTTGATCATCTTCGAGATTCACTTGGTACTTATTCAGTCGGATTAGGGCGTATCTTAAGTCCTGGATGAATAAATTTTAGATTTGCCTTATATTTTGAAAAAAAACATAATTTTTCCTCCAGACAGGCAGTCATTTGAGACGTCGAGACATTTCTGGCATAAAATACCGCAAAAGTTCCACAAAAACTGGATCAATTTTTTTTCACCGCATAGAGGCAAAACTAAACCTGATTACTTCACCAACTTGTCGGCTAATTTCAAGTTATCAATCATGACCTCACTGTAGTTTCAAAAAATGTTACTTTCCCATCCATAAGTAGTATCGGCTACCTACTCACATAAATTTTATAGTTGATTAAAAAATGCATTTATTATCTTTAATTTTCCTCTCTTGCACAACGTAAAAATATTGAGCTGGGGATTTTATCAGAGCCTTTTAAGATGTAAACGAGAAAAGTGGAAACCTAGTGTTGATGCATGTCCATTCAAGTAAAATGACCCAACAACTTCAGCGATCCGCTCACCTTTACTAAAATCGTCCACTCTCCTCTGCTTCCCGCCTCACCTCCACCCTGGCTTGGCACCTAATCACAGTGTCGGAGGTTACAACCAAGCAGAAAAGCAAAAAGTGTTTTCTTCTCCAAGCTGATGCATTTGCGAGGATGCGTTGAGGGGTAAATGAGAAAATGTTGGAAAAGCACCTGGTTTGAGTAAAGTGGACTTTTCGCCACCGTTACGTCGAGTGTCCTTTCATCCCATCCCACCACCCGCTAATTGCAGTCACAAGTGCCATACGCCTATCGTTAAATGAAAAAGTTGAGAATATCTAATTAGCCATTTTTTCAATTGGATATACTACTTAAATCAGATCGGCAAAGTCGACGCAAGGCTGTCATCGAAAAAAGTTCATTTTTGGACTAAGCGATGGTATTTTGTCTACAGTAAAACAGAAAAAGAAAATAAAACAAAACATACAATTCATTTGAATTTTTGAATTTAGCGGCTGTCATTTGGTACCTCCCTCTCTTCAAAAACTTCTAGTTAAACGCCACTAATCTCCTTTTTTATATCAAAAACTGCATTTTTGTATCGGAAAAGTCCTAAGAACTCCTCTTTTTGAGCAGAAGTTTTCATGGTGAATGATGCACTTGTCAAGTGTAAAAGAAGGCAGTTTTGTGATCTCAAAAATTGCAATTTCTAGAGGTTAATTAAGGCATGAAGATCCAAGGTCGAATGACTCTCAAATTTAGCTGTCTTCTTTCTTTTTTCCCTCCTTCTTCTTCCTAAGGGCAATCCTCACTTTTCCTACCAAGGCTTCTATTCAAATCAAACGTTTTAAACAAATTTGGGGAAAAATTAGTTGAAGTAACTTGAAAAACCTAAGCAGATAACTCTTAATGTATGCCCTTTTTCTCAGGGGTTCCTAATTGACAATTTTACACCTGTCAATCATATTTTTAAATCCACTTTGAAATAGCCTTTGCTCTGACCTTTGCGTATGGTAAAATCCCGTTTGATTTGTGTGGGAGATTCCAGTTCCGACTCTGTAGAAGCTTCGGATGCTCCCCAAGGCCGAAATAATGTCCACCAGTGCATAGAGGAATGGTTGGGTAGGCCACGAGACTGCGGAGTTTGCTAGCCAGGCCAAATCGCAAGATGCATGAACTAGCCACGAAGATTGTTACCTCACAATTGACATATTTTATCCCTCACAGATCCGGTGTAATCCAGGCCGGTGATTCGTTATTGGCCATTCAAGGCGATTCCCCCCTCGGCAAGACTATCGACAAACTGACGGCACGCTACCTCTCTCCCCCCACCGACACTGTCAATAGACACCTCGCCTTGGTGACCCAGTATACCGTCGCTGAAAATGTTATCCCCAGCAGTGGCGTCTTCGATGTGCGTATCATTAAGCGCTCCTCCAGCCTCGGCATTAACCTTCAAGGTACGTCGGCTGACAACCTTTTGACACGAATTGCATTCACTCCATCGACAGGGTTAGGCGATCAACTGGTTTGAGTAATAGGATTACTTAAGAAAGTGACTTAAGGCGTTTACCTTTTAGTAATTCTTCCAGAATGCATAGTTCCAGGCGAAGCACGTATTTTACAGCCCCAGAAAAGAAAAAGAGGATATTTTGAGTCCAACTTGTCGACGTCAGAGGGCTTTATTAGTCCAAATGTGGTAGAAAAATAATTTTAATACCACATTTTGGCATCACTTTGAGGCTGAACATCTGCAAGATCAATATCTCGGCCCACGCTTTCCCCCCCCCCCTGCCCACCACCCCCGACTGCCCTTCCCTCCATTCTCCCCACCAAAGCCCTTCGGTCGGCAGGCCAGAATGGTTCAGGCGAATTCCATCTTTCTTGCCCGCCAATGACGCCTCCTCAAAAGCCAATGGGAGAGCAAAAAGGCGCAGCCATTTGGGTGCCAAACTATCGTGGCGAACGTCACTAATCTGGTGAAATGACCCCCCCTCTCTAATGGCCGAGGCGCTAATACCACCTGATCCCTACACACCGCTAGAGCTCGTTGCATTTGTTGCTGCTTTGGTGTCTGTTCGACTCAAAAGATTGACACACGCACACACACAAGGGAAGTTGTTTGGACCCGCTAATTGCTTTCCCCAGGTCATTACGACTGAGTAATCACGTACCCGTTGCTTGAACCTAAAATGTTTTCTTTTTAAAAAAACGACAATAGGGATTTTGAAACAAGTTTTTAAACATGTTTGACAGATTTGTAAACCTCACGGTCAATGTGAACTTGATAATTCCTAACCAGCTGTGTTTGTAACCATTCGTCTGACCAGACGTTTTACTATAAATTAGTGTTGCTACTGGAGACGGAAGTATTTAAGAAATGCCTTTTTCTCGGTTATTTTTCACTCTGATTCGATTTACTCAAAGTCACACATGCAAAAAGGTATATATTTTGTTAGGTGTCTGTGAAGTTGTTTTACTTATGCTACGTGATGAAGGAGACGTTTTGAAATCGTTTGTTCTAACTCAAGTAGGGAAATGGATTGAGATGAAGCAAAACAACCGTCACTTAGACCTTTTTAAAAAAGACAAAATTTTTTTATGGCCAGAGATCAAGGAGGCGAAAAGACGCTGTTACAGTCCGGCTAATATCAAAAACGAAAAAGATAGCCATAACTTACAAAGGTGTCACAAGGGAAGTACGGGGAATGTGGAGAGCACCGTCCTCCTACGCATTCACGGGGTCCTGTCTTGTCTTGAAAGTTATGGTAGGTTTGCCCAAGTAGACCACCAATTTTTGAGGCTTCTTTGAAAAAGAAGGATGTGATCATTTTAGTTTAAACTTAAGCAAATAAATACCAGCCATATTTGCTGTTTTATTGGCCTTCATATACCGGACGATTCCTGATGAACAACTGTGTCTGCGGTACGCAGCACACACAGTAGACAGTCTTCTGTGGTGAGTGGATGAATTTATACACCAGTGGTGGAGTGTGAAGCTCCGTGAATCACTTGGCCATCCGGCTGCCTATTCACCCAAACTTTCATCCAGCCGACCGACGAGATGTCCCATCAGTCAGCACCCCAACCGGATAGCAAACAGACTTCAATGCGCACCGTCCTTTGTAAAGTGGGGAATAGAAGTGAAGTTCCATCTCTTTCATCCTCATTGTCTATCATCTGTTGACACTGATGTATGGGGGCCATCGCCTTAGAAACTGCCACCATGTTTCCTCCTTCTAGTTGATTTGGGCCAACTTTGACGGGTGGATCTCCAATCACTTCTCTGCTTCAGTGGGGGTACGTGATTACTTCAGAGCAGTCGAGTAGGAGAGGAGAGACAAAGAGAGAAGGGAAGGGAAGGTCTTCCTCTGTTGCCGAATTATCCCACTGTACAGCTCACGTCCTCAGGGGATGCTTCCGCAGATAGGGAACCGAGTTCGCACCATGGTTTGCAGGGCAGCAGACTTGCCCGGGGCACATGCACTCCGTTGTGCCGACACTCTTTGAACATGAGGAGTGTTGATAGGGAAGAAAACTTAGCGGAGGATGCTTCACTAGGAGGCAGTTGCTAAAAGTCAGAAGAATTAATTTCAGCGACACCATTTGCTATCATCGTGGAGCACTTCAGAGATGGAGTTATTGGAGTGTATAACAATGAAACAATTATATTCTTTGTACTGACAGAATGACTGCGTCCACCTGCTGCCCTACGAGATGAGGCGAATTCGGTTTCGTGTCTGCAAAAAATTGCTGTATAACACTTGGAGGAGGTGCGGTGCGGAATTGATGAATGTTGCAACAACACAAAGACTTGACAACGTGGTGGATTAGTTTTGGTGACAGTAAATCACTCAACGCCTTATGCATCACTGTAAGGAAGGACCACTATTTTCTTACTTTGAAGAAATCACGTGGCCCCACTGACACAGAAGTGATTGGCCAAGCTGATACACATCAACTGGGAGGAGGAAACGCAGTGACGGTTACTGAGGCGACGGCTCCCACACATCACTGTCAATGGATGACTGATAATGCGCGTGAGGGAGAGGAAGATTGCTCCTCACTTTGTTGTGATTCAACTTTTTTTCCTCCCAGACGCATATTTGCCTTCTGGCTGAAAAACTGTCTGACGGAACGTCCTGTTGGTCGGCCGTCTGGGTGACTAAATTACCTGTACTGGAAAGTGGTCTTTTGTACCCCTTCGCCAATACAGTACCTCACACTCCACCACTGGAGCACCACCTCAGCCAGCCACCCACCGACCACCGAAAAATATGTCCACTGTGTATGTGATGCGTACGGTAGACACAATTGTTCACCAGAAATCGCCCATTCCACAAGGGCCAAAGCAATAACAACAGCAACAGCGAAAAAAGGAAACCTCCAGAACTGGTGGTACATTTAGAGGAGCATTTCAAGCTTTTAAGACGGCGCACAGCCGCAAAACTCACCCGTCTAAAGCCTTCATCCTACCTTTTGGGGTTGCGAGGAGAGAGGAACGGAGAGTGAGACGCCGCTCTCTTCCGGTGACATTTCTCCAAGTGGTGATCCTCACCCTTTCTTAGGGAGGTAGTCACACATGAAGCAGAATAGGTGGTCAGGAGATGAAAGTGAGATAGAAAAGAGGATGCCATGGACTGTGTTTGTTAGAGGAGTCCCCGATTAAATTTCTTTCCAGAGGCTTTGAATTCTTTGTTTAACAGCTTCAAGAAAATGCCGACCGGGAGAACCTCTTCTAATCAGCAAAGTGATTCCAGGAAGTGTGGCCAGTCGGTGTGGATCTATCAGTCCGGGGGACATCCTTCTCGCTGTTAACGGAGTCTCGCTAGAGGCCTGCAGTATCACAGATGCTGCACGGCTACTTCAAACCTCGGAAGATATAGTGACCTTGCGGATTCAAAAGCCCGATGAGGAGGTTACTACACCCCTTTCTGATGAGGGTCTCCTCTCTTATTGTCAGAGTGACCTTGAAATTGTTCGCGACGATGACCACGACTTTGGCAGTGGTGGTGGAGGTGGTGTAGATGTTAATAATGAGCTTCAGGATGATGAATTCCTTAGCCAATCAGCGGATGAATCAATATCGCATCTGCTGCCACCTCCGCGAATGCCTCGACGATACCGCAGTCAAAAACCAAAGCGAACCCAACACAGACGGGTGGGAACTGCACCGACGGCTTCAAGAATACAGCTGCAGCAACAATTTCAGCAGTTGGAAAGCGAGATGGGCAGTGATAAGAGAGGGAACCCGTCTGATAGCCTCTCATCGGATCGGTTCAGTGAGAATATGTGCTCCGGTGAGTCGTCTCACTTTTGCTTTTTGCAGATCCTACCGAGTCAATGATATGACATGGGTGTCGATCTCTTGTACTGTTTGAAGGATACTAGTGATCAATGACAAAGTGTTTAGATATCTTGTACGTCTTGACAAATTTTTTTTAATGTAGCCAACAGATTTTCAGTAACCTATCAAAAACGGAAAATGAGTAGTCCTAATCAACTGTGGGGTGCTTTCAGCAAATTTTGCTGCAAAATACTCTCCTTGCTATTTTTAAGAAAATAGAAACTGCAATTTTGACTGAATATTTATCTGGAGCACCTTGACGGAAAGAATCCCCGAATTCGATCATGCGCTAACACCCTTCGCCCGCTTTTTGTCTACGCTTAAATCCCAAATTACTACGAAAAATCACCCTTATTTATGAGTGTTTTTCAAACTAAGATCCAAGAATTATTTATTGGCTTGCTATTCTAAATGGTAATGTTACTCCTGCTTCAAATTCCCACATTCCAACGGTTTAGGATCGATTGCTTTTGACCACCCAATTTGACTAATTTAAACAAACGTATTAGGTCTAATTTTCTTAAATATTTAGTTGAGACAATTAAAACCGTCTATTCGTACATGTATCTATTTTTCTGATGCTTTCACTTTGGTTCCAACTGTTTCTTACTTCCTTGGGGTATACATTGGCTTAACTTATTTTTGGCATAAATTTGAAAATCCTGTTCTGTTTTTAAGGGATGATTTGTGATAAATACGTGCTCTGTGGAGTTATTTTTCCACATTTGTTTTTATCTGCTTTTCCTGGGTAACTTTCAAGGGACTTTCTATTCGAGTACTTTTCTATGCACTTCTGTTGTCGCACATTCCAAATAACTTTCTTTTTCGTTAAAGCAAACAGTAATTCTTCGGCTTTACTTCAAACTATTTCTGCTCTCTGCAAAGGAGATTTACATTTATCTGGTCAACACTTTCTTCTTCTTTGCCTGAAACATTGAAATCATCAAGCATTCTGAAGAAAAATTGGTATTTTTTTGCCACAAAAACCCCACTAGAAGAGCGCTTTTACTTGAAAATTGTCATATCGGTTTTATGGATTGGCTTTAATCTGTCTTGTCTTCTATTCGGTAGAAGGGGATTTCGGAGTGAACCAAATCCTCTACCCACTCGCAATGTCCATCTCCCTCTACCCTTTGGTCTTTTCACCCTTTTCGCCCCTGCGCTACTGCGCAGTAGGAGGCAGATATGCCGGTTTTGTGTCGGTGTCTACGTTTGTTTGTTTGCGTGTGTGTGTCTACGTGTTTGTGTGCATTAGCTTATGCGTGTATGTACTTATTTATGTGTGCATGTAACTAGTAAAATCAAACAACGGACCTGAGGAGAGGGCGCCAGCAAGATAAATTACTCTGTCTCGACCCGTTCACCAGCCACATTTCGTAATCCCATCGATAAATAATAAGGTGGTGTTTGGCTGTGTTCCATGTTGGTTTATTTGTCATTGTAGCTTGATTGGTCCCAACAGAGGGGATCATTCATTTAAATCATCCTCACCGCTTCTGTAGTCTTCCGTTCCTTCTTCATATTTGGGACACAGTTAAAACCAACCGCGGTCCCAATCTTGACGTCGAATATGACCTGATCATCCATCGACCCATCGTATGTGATTGCCTACCCACTGTCAAGAAAAGTTTACATTCGTAACTCGGAGAAGTACAGGGGGCGAGCATTAGGCATGATCGTCCTTCAACTCTCCACTTTTTTCTAAGGTGAGACATCAGATGTTGCAGGAACTCTCGCACCTCTAGTCTTAACTTCAATTTTACATGAAGGTTCAAAGTAACCTGTGAGCGACAGAGTTTGCATCTTATCATTGGCTTAGCGCACTTCTCTCTATCCATATAAGCAATCGCTCACGTCATATCAGTAGTTACAATGCAAGTTATAGGAAGTCATTACACCTGATTGCGTCCAAAAAAGTTGAATATCTCCAAAGAATTCTTTATGGGTAGAAATGCCTCTCCAACAGTTTTGTAAGGTGAATGCGCCTACGTAATTTGGCTACTGTAGTGTGATTCTCAAACAACACACGCAAGAGATGTGTACAAAAGGGAAAATACTTCTAACTAGTGAGTCATAAATCTAGCTTCAATGCTGACAAAGTGTAGCTTAAAATAAAGTGAATATCGGTTATATTTTTTTCGGCATTGAAGGTTGATTTGTGTGTAACCAAGCGTACAACCTGTGTAAAATGGGTTACCCCAACACAATATCTGGCAATACCGATGAAGGCCAAAAAATGAATGTGTTAGGGCATGGTAGGGTGAGGGTGGAATGAGCGAAGGGGGTTGAAGGCCATTTAACGATTCAAAAAGCTGAACAAACGTTTTGCAACATCAAAGCTCAGCATCCACAGATTGCCGGAGGCGATAGCAGAATACGCGATCTCCAATCGACCGCATGCCTGGTAGTTTGACAAGGGCAGAAAAAGGATAGTGAGAGAGTGGGTGATAAAATGTCCCTTAAACATTCTTGGTGATTTTTTTACTAAAAACCATAGGTGTTTGCTTGTGTTTATCCAACTTGTCAAAAAATACATCTTAAACGGTGGAGGAAAATACACTAAAACCACATTGAAGTGTCAAGGGAAAAAAAAACGAAGGAGAAACAGGAATTTAAAACGACTCGAATTAGTGCACTAATTAATTAAGCGCGGACTTGTGCACAAATGGTTGATAAAGTGTATTATAAAGGCAATTTTCCTCATTTATAAACTGAATTTGAAGTCTTCCCTTCTACTTTAATGTGATTGGCTAGTATTCATCTACGTGTTTTCTGATTAACTATGAAATAAGCAAAAATTTGTAACCAAAATTCCATATCTGTCCCAAATTTTGGCTTTGTTTTTCTTTATTTTCATCAATTTAAGTGACTTTTGGCACTAAGGGAGGGTTAATTGTTTGCCATGCGATATTTGCTTGAGCAGATAGCGTCCGCCGACAAGAACGACTTGTCTCCTTTCAAAATGTTAGGCTCTTTGAAAGGAACTTACATATTGTACATTAAAAACTCATGCCATTTGATAGAAAAAATACAAGGTAGTTCAGATAAAGTTAGGGTATACTTATATGCTACTCATTTCCAAGTAGTAAAACATGACTTCGTCCTATCAAATACCCATCTGTTTTGTTGTGAAAAAATAACTTTTTTCTGGTGAAATAGAGAAGAATCCGAACCATCAAAGTCACAACTACTTCTCTTTTAGTCCATAAACAACTCCCAACATTTTTTAAAATAAAATTTATCATCCACCAATGCTTAAGGGCTTATTTGAAACGGAAAGCAAAGTATCTTTTTGTTCAGGTGGTGTCAGAAGGTATTTTCGCAAAGTCAGGGAAGAGCAGAAGAGGAAGGGACTCTAAGCTCTGGGAGAAACCTGACAAATGATAAAAGCGCCTACTTCAGAAACGCTTAGCAGAGCTTAAGGGAGGAAAGCTAATAAGGGAAACTAACTAAATTTTATAGCTTACAGAAGTTAAATTAAATTGAAATATTTACAATCTGTCTACTGAATTAGGCCGCTTTGAATGCATGCCGCTTTGTGGATTCATCAAATAGGGGAATATTTTAGCTACGCCGAGGGTGACCTCAAAAGTCATCGCTTAAAACAAATTCATCTTGGAACCAAATGGATTCTTTTTTTTCTCTTTGCTTTAAAAAGTAAAGTTTTTTGCAACTTTTTCTTCTGCCACGTTTGTCTCAGCACCGATCAAATTGTACCAAGAAAGTCTAACACCGCGATACCATGTGGTGCTTCTGGATTATAGCATTTGCCAAGAAAAGCCATGGGAAGGAAAAATAAAACGTGCCTGCCTTATCTGGGTGACAAGGTGATTGCTTTTCTTGCCCAGAGTTTGCTTTAACATGAATGGAAAAAAAGGAAAATTTATTTTTAGGTGGTTTTTATATATACTCAATATCATTTTGCCTTTCATTCCGAAACTGACTTGTCACCCAAAGTATATCAAAAAGAACAACATGAAAACATTCTGAAAGGGTACTTTTTTCTATGAATAAGGATTTATAAATAATTATGGCATTTTATTGAGGTAATATCTTCCTCCCCACTTTTCTCGCGCTCCTTTATTCTAAAGACCATCGAAGGACTTTGCATTGCTCGTAAGTGCATGAAAAGTACTTTCCTATTACTGCCTTCCCGTCCCTATCGTATTCTGCTGAATGAGGTAATCTCTTCAGCTTCCATTTTTATTACATAACGCCAAATGTACAAAAGGCTGCCTTTAAAGTATGGAATTGGAACGGGGATATGACCGACAGCTTACTAGCTGCCTGCCATCTGTGATAATGCTTCTAACTAAATAACTGCTTTTGACATTGTTTTTCTCTTAGACACCCTTTTTGAGGTTCACAAAGTGCGCCTGATACGATCGCATCCCTCATGTCCATGGGGAGTGGTAATATCTGGCACCGACGACGTTATCGATGCACCCGTTTACATTGACTCCCTCACTCCGGGCAAACCAGCTGCTCTATCTGGTTTGCTACGAGCTGGAGATCGAGTCCTTGCTGTTAACGGTCTTGATGGCGCTGCTCCGAAGTTGGCAGGAGGCAGTGGACTAACACTGTCACTTGTCACCGCTCGTCTTCAACAACCCTCCGAACAAGTGACACTTTATATAGCGAGGGAGAAGAGTCGATCGGATTTTGCCGTCCCTGGGCAGGGCAATAGCGATGCTGCAGTGAAACAATACTCCTGGGGCGCAGTAAGTCGAACTTCGCTGTCTCCTTCGCACCATTTGGCAATTTACATGTGGATGGGCGGTGATGAGGTGCATTGAAAGGAGCCTAGAGTCAGCCCTAAGTAGCGCACGTGATTGCTTAAATGCCTCCCACCACCGGTACAAATTTGACGTGCTTACCCTTTTGTAGTCCTGTCCGCCAGCCACCGAATTTAACCAGTCCTTTGATGAGGAGCGGGTAAGACCCTCTGCACGGGCTCAGGCACCAGCATCAACTTCTGTGGCAATGGCTTCAACAACGCGCCTGAGGAAGCAGAACTCCGCTTCCAAAACCCCCTATCCAAGGCACTTCACCGCGCCGATTGGATTCTGCAGCAATCCCAGTGAGTTGTGCACTAATAAAGTAGTCATCCACATCCTCAAATTTTCCCCCTTTTTAACAACATTCCTTACACAAGGCACAACACCAGAAAAGGCTACTTCTACCGCTTCTTTCTCCACAAGTCTTCATTCATGTGAAGGTTACTGGCGCCTACATGTTACTCGCTTACTCGTTACTACTTATAAGAAAGCTTTTAAGTAGCATGGCATTCTGCAGTTTTTTTTTAAATTTATGGCAAGAGTGAGAAATTTTTCCTCATTGCTTACAAGAACAGAAGGGAAGACTTTCATCCTAGTGATGCAGATGATGTTGAGTGATCTTCTGTCACCAACTGTTCTGTAGTTGTGACACCCAACCCAGATCAGGCCAACATTCCTCAACGCGAGGGTTCAAAATACAGGCAGATTAGTAGAGACCACATCTAAAAGTCGGCACGCTTTATGCTTGAGTCGAACAGGCTGAGTAAAGGAACGAACTCGTTCACGTTGCAGATGGCTGTTATCTCGTATTCGGCCAACCAGTCAGCCGGCCGATTGGCTCAAGGACGTGCATTTGGGTCTGGTAACTGGAAGTGAGGAGATTGAACCCTTGGCGCACCCTGCTATGCGTTTGCCTTTGCTGGTTTCGGTGTTGCTTGTTTGCTGCCTCGCCTATTGCCTCATTCGTGTCCTCTGTCATTCATTCACTAGGTGGGTGGGTAGGTGAGTGAGTGGGTGTGTCTATGAACGGACGGTTGTCCAGGCAGAGTTGGTGAGCGATAAAGTCGTCAGCTTTACTGCCTCAAAGGGGTCAGAACTGGGCATTCCTTCTTTGATGTTGCATGCGTCTCTGCAAAAGGACCTTGAATGTTCTTTGATATCTTGACCTTTCTGCCAATACTTGAAGATTCATAATGCCATGTCATTTCGCCTCAGCCCTCCACTTGACTCAAAAGATGCTTCTCTCGATTTTAAGCACTAGGTAAAGGAATATTCTAGGATGAGGTGATGAAAAAAGTGACCCACAATAGGTTCCAAGCCCTTTACGCATTTTTTTTTTGCGGTGACATATTTTCCATTCAAGCACTAGAGCCTGTTTTGTAAAATGAATCCAACAAATAAATAAAGAAGTATGTAAATACTTCAGACCACTTTTGTCTAGCAGACGAAGGACTTCTTTTACTTTTTATTCAAAAAAAAAACGGCCCCGTAGACAAGGTGTATGGTCTTATATTTGGTGCTGCTGTTGTTGCCCTGACCTTCGAATGATCGAGGTAAAGTCAATGTTTATTTCTCCTCTTTTTTCTTTCCTTCTTTCCCTCCCTCCTTCTTTCTCTTACTTTAGGTTACCTTCACTAATCTCTTCCTTGACGTATCCTTACCTCCTTTATTGAAACACTACATTCCGTGAAGTTTTGCCCTGGTGGGGTAGCATTACTAAAGATGAGTTCGAATGGGAAAAGGTGACCTTTTAGGTCTTGATTTGCGCTTTTTTGTTGTGTGATCCTATAGGTCGTGATCCTGGCTCCGGATATTTCGATGACTACGGACCCAACTTCCAGCCCCCCACCTACCGTAAAGTTCAGGGTGTTGGTAGATCAACAGGCGATCTTCTAGATGTGCCTCGTCAAACTGTGGATGCCTACTTGACGAAGGATGAGGCCACACCGCATCATCATCATCATCAACATCACCATCATCACAAGGGACATCAACAACACAGTCGAAGGCGTAAAACTGGAACGTCAAGACACCAACGTCGGCACAAGCAGGAAACAAGTGTGGAGGAGTCTGAACAGAAGGTGGTGGAAGAGGATCGGATGCCCAGAGCTTCGTCCACCTTGAATATAGACGATATCGCCTGTCCCGGATGTCGTGAGGCGGTAGTCAATGAGGTGCTCAATCAGCAGAGGTAGGATTACGATTGGCTAACCAACCACCCACATCTACTGACTAAAAAGCCGTAAGCCAGCCGTGTGGAAACGCTTAAATCCCTTGGTTGGTAGTCCTCCCTATTCAGACTTTGACAACAGTCTTCACCTTCTGTATCTAGACCGTCGTGATGATCCCATTCAAAACAAGGTGGGAAGGTGACTCAGTTTCAATGATGTTCAGAAAAGAGGCCAAAAGTAATTGTTTCCAGACTAGAAAGTTTCTCTATCTACTGCATCCCTGTCATAGGTTGATAAAGGTCAGGAATCGCATATGTGACGCTCCTGCAAAGATACAGAGGATCATACTACAGGGTAATTGTACGCAGCCCATCTCTTCTTTTGAGCGTTGTATCCGGCACCCCCTCTAATCAACCTCCCTCTTCAGATGTCACAACGTGGGCAGCCCCTTAAAACTAATCGCCAATCAGTAACGCGGGGGTGAAGGCATTTGATCTCAAAGTCAGTGATGTATCTCTGACGTTCGTCCTAGTTCTAAAATTTAGTGGAAAGGGGGAAGTCCACTGTCTTCATACTACTCAAGACTGGAGGCTGCTCCATAAGGGGGAGTATCACGTCACCCAACCGGCAACCACTAGTCACCCCGGGGCTAATGTTCTTCATCTATTCCTCTTCGTTGGTGTTTCATAGCCATCTATCTATCCGTTTAAGTTTAATTAAGATAGCAGAGAGGTGGCAGAGGTGTTTCTTGCTCACAATGCCTTCGACAACTCCATAACGAGCTTTCCAAATGCCTTCACGATCATGGAGTTGGGGAGGATTCACAGATTCACCCACACCCAGTAGATGCCATGGATATGACGCTCTAAGGCATTTATAGAGGCACTGAGTGAAGAGAAAATATATTATTGGCGGAGGGAATAAAAAGAACACTGCAAGGATACAGGAAGCTTCAGTCATAGGCGCAAAGACTTCGCACTAAAAATGGTGGAAAGGAGCTGGGGGCGGAGAGGCTTCCAGGACTACAGAGCCCGAGCAATTAAACCGGATAGAAGGCTCTTTACAGGAGAAGAGAAAGACGTATATTTAAAAGGATATAAAAAATTACCATTGACAAGTCGAGGTACCGCCAAATGTCAACCAATGATCGGTCAAATCTGCTATCAGGATGGGGAGGAAGAAAAGGAGGAAAAAAAAACGGTGTAAATTTTATTTAGGAATTTTTGATATTTTTTATCAAAAAATTTATCCCGTTTGTCAATTTTTAAGTATCACTCTGCAGTACTCCCAAGTTTAATAGGTGTTCAGCAACCATCACGTGTTTTTTGGCATCCTCAGTAAAGATACTCCACTTTGTGATTGTCAAGTTGTCTGGAGGGTTGTATCCGAAACCAAATTGTAATTTTTAACACCGAAAAAAGAAAAAAAAATAAAAGGAGGAAAAACTGTGTTAGTAAATTTTAGCGAGGAGGGGAGGGGGGAGCCTTATCCTCCAATAAATGGCTGGAATTATCTAAAAATCTCTTGTAAATCCCCTTTCGAAAAGCCGACCATTTAGAGGCAGAAGTGGCTCTTTCTGCTATCCCCAAAGGAGGGAGGAAAACTCTCTCAAATCATTTGGAGATATTTGTGTCCAACTTCCATTTTTAGTAGGCTGGTTCACCCCTCACCCCACCCCACATGGCCATGAGGAGAGGAAGCTAAGGGCTGTAGTAGGAGGGGGCGGAAAAATTCGGTAGGTCTTTTCGACACGGAAGTTTACATCGATGGTTTTTTTGGTATTCCCCTCTACTTTTCTACCACCTTGAAGTCTTATACACTTTTGGTGGTACTCAGTGGATATAATCCGAGGTGGTCTACTCCAGAAGACATACCAGACGCGTGCAGAGCATTTGAAGAAGGTACGGTTTTGGAGGGCATTTACCGAAAACGCTTTCAAAAGCCAAAACCTTCTGGATGAAGGTTTAATGCCTTGCAGATGGAATTGTGGATTGTAAGTCTCTTGTTTTTATACCTTTGCTACTTCCAGACTGCTGACTGAACAGCGCTGTGACCGCAGTCACGTGACTCGTCGTCGAGGTCACCTGAAATCGCGTGGACGTAGTCTGGAGATTGTGGACTCACAAACAGCAGAGGGAGTTGATACCGACATCGCATTTGTATCACATCGCATCCATAGGCATCACCAACAACACCAAGCATTGGAAGGAGGTAAAGGCGGTACCAGAGGCGGTGATAGAGGCAGCTATCGCAATCTCTCGAGGTCGGATTCAAGACTGAATCGAGACCGGTTAGATCCTGAAGATGAAGGGGAGGAGGATGAGGAGGAGGGATCAATCTCCTCATCCGCTGCTGCTGCTGCTGCTGCTGCAGACGCTGATATTTCGGTATCCACCTGCACCTCGTCATCTACATCATCACGATCCATTGCTCTCAGCGCCTCTCGAAGCTCTCGGAGTTCATCAACCTCTAGTGGAGACCTTTTGGAGACCTCCAAACCTACGAGTGGCTCTCATCGAACATTTGCTGCACCTCCGCTTCCCAGGTAGGGAAAATTTGGCTGCTGGCTACGAGTATCACCTCCATGCGGTACTTTGTAACCACTGGTATCAACTTTAGCCCTAGACACCCTTCCACTCTTAAATATTTTTTTTTCTCCAAATATCTACATTGCATGGGGGATATGTCAGGGAGATGTGAATGAATGGGAGGAAAGGGGGGATGAAGTCCTACAGGAACAGGGCCTCCTCTTCAGCCCTTTTTCCCAGGTATCGTATCAAGGAGGGAGATACCTTTTAAAGGCATATGAGCTTGGGCGATTGAACACTTGTAGGGTGACAAGTTGTACCTACATTCCACCACTAATGACTCAGCCTTATGCCTCCTTGCTGGTTGGGGTTTGGTAGCCTTCTTCCACCACAAGGCTGGATTACCCGAAGCACTTTTCTGATGTGGAGAAGGTGAAAAACAACTACTTTGTAGGCTTTAAGCCCCCCCCCCCCCCCACCTGCCATTGTTTAATGCGTGATATTTACGATTCATTTGTCTGATAGCTATCATGACTCTCCCGCCTCCCAGTTACTGTGGGTAAAGAATGGAGAGTTCTCCCTCGATGAGAATAATTCCTTCTTATTGGAATCATTTGGTACTTATTTTATCGCATACCCAACCTCCTCCAACTTCTGTTCAACAGACGGCAAGCGAAGATTAGGTAGATGGATTCTAGGGGACTGAAGAGGCTGCACAATAAACGCTGTTTCATGGATGGTGGAATGCCGACAGTTTGCTAGAGGGACGACTGCCAATCATTGGAGAGAAGGTTAAATCCTTGGGCGACAGCGTAGCACCTCATACCATCCTCCACCTTCATATATTTTCTGTTGGAGATTTCCTCCGCTTTTGCCATTTTCTAAAAAGTAGTGAATTAAAAAATGCAAAAATATTTAATGATTCCCTCAATATCAAACGGAAATCGCCTATTCGTAAAGTGGAACAAGGAGGAATTTTTAAATTGCCTCCAGGAGATCAACTGAAAACACTTAGGGCTAATCACTCGGTTGATTTACCAGTAAATCAGCCACTCACCCATCCACCCTTCTCACTCTCTCTCTCCCACTGCATTTCTCTGCTGCGCACGCGTCTTCTTTCCTGCCTTCCTTCTATCCGCTCCTCCACTGCTTTGCATTTTAATCGGGTGGAACAACTTCACCGGGGATTTATCTGCCCTTGCAAGTTGAGCCCTCGCCTAGTTAAAAACGGGCGTGGGGGGTGGAGAGGAGCGAGGGGAAGGGAAATGGGACGTCGACCAGTAGGAGAAGGATTTTTGAAAGTCTCTGCAAAGTGGCAGTTCTTCCTCCTCCCCACATCTTTTCTGGAGTAAATGACCTTAACTTGTTTGTTTGTTTAATAGTTGTTTGGTTGCGTAGCATTAAAGAGGTGACCAGATGGAATAGTGCAGTAGGCGTGGAGAAGTGCCTGCAACGCGACTTAGTAAAGAAGAGAAGGGAAGGTGAGGTGAGCTGAGGTGACGCGAGCTGGCTTGAGTTGAGCCAAGATAGAACCTCCTCCTCCTC